GAGCATGGCAAAGCATGATGGAGGATAATATTATTGTGAAATGGAAATCTCTGAAATAGAATGGCAAAATAAAAGTGAACATTGTGCTGCTACAGCAGAGAAAGCCTGGAGGATGCTGGGTTGAATCAGCAGCAGATAAAGGCATTATTCCACTCTATCAGCACTTATCAGGCCACACCTGGAACCAAAACTCTTCTTTTTTAGTCCTTACTGTACAAAAATGTTGTGGACAGGGTGGACAGGTCTAGAGAAGGGCCAAAAAAACAGTGACCAGTGGCAAGACCCAAGTGAATGACCTGAAGTTGTGTCAGGGATGTTAGAAAAAGGTTCTTCACCCAGAGGGTGTTTGGGCATTGGAACAGGCTCCCTAGGGAAGTAGTCACAGCACCAAGCCAGCCAGAGTTCCAGAAGTGTTTGACAGTGCTCTCAGCACAGGGTGTGACTCTTGGGGTGTCCTGTGCAGATCTGAGTGCTGGACTTGCTGATCCTTGTATGTCCTTTCTGACTCAGAATGTTCTATGGCTCTGTGAAGATGTTGGCCTTAAATATTTTTTAAAAATATAGTCTTATAGAATCATTTAAGTTGGAAATTTCACTGATCTTAAACGTCTTTTCTTGGAAAAGACCCTTAAGATCAGTGAATCAAATCAATGGTTGTGTAATCAGGTATCACCTCACAGATCAAGCCACCTGAAACAGCCATTGAGTAACTTTTGGTAATAGCTGCAGCCTTAATTGCTGTGGAAGAGGAGAAGACATCTGGTTTTTTCACTGTATAGGGAGGAATTAATACAGGAAATGAATATAAATGGGAAAAGCTTTTAGAACCAGGGGTTTTTGTGGTGTCCCTGGCCAATATCTGCTCTTAGGCACTAGTTAATATTTCAAGTGTAAAAAACCACAGCTCATTGCAACATTTTTCTGGCAGTTGACTAAGTTTGTTCAAGTGTGGGAGAAAAGATAGACTTGCTCTGGGGTTGTTTTCTGGATTGGTCCCTTGCCAAGATTAAACTGTTGAGCTGAGTTTAAATGATAACAAGTTTGCAGGCTGGGTTGTGGTCAGAAACACTTAAGTAGTGCAGTGCAGGGCAAATAACTGCTGTGGTAGAGACAAAACCATGTCCTGCAATGTGCTGTGACCCGGATGGCATCCGGCTGGATCCGTCCAGGTCGCATTTTAAGGAAGGTGAAAGGTTATGCAGGCTGCAATGGGGAAGGCTTTCAGCAGAGTGCAGCTGCTGGAGGGAGGGAGGAGGGAATGAAGGAATCCTTTAAAGCAAACAGAGTTGGTTAAATAATGCCATGAAACTTCCAGTTCTCAACAATGATCGGAGATCAAGCTGTGTTTGTATATACAGGGTTGAAGGTTAACCAGTAACTAAAGTCTTCCCTGATTGCCACAGGTTTACATTTTCTCTGTCACTGATGTTTGCCAAGTGGGATTTTGTGAGATTAGAAAAAATACAGCTGGGCAAACGGGTATATTATAGGGCTTACCCAAACAGAGCTGAGAGGGGGACCACAGTGATATAACACACATGGTGGGTTCAGACCACGCCAAGAGGCTTGATGGCTCCTGTCACAGGCAAGGGCTGAATGCAGAAAATTTGAAAGTGAACTCCATAGCCGAAAGACCACGCTTCCCTCTCATTTCATATTTCAAAGAACTTGCAACAGTACATAAAAATACTGCAACTAAAAGAAGTTACAAAGGGATTTTTTCTTTTTGTTTTCCCCAGTGTATTCTCCATGTGGTTTGACAGCCCTTCACACAAAGCTGGTTTCACTCTTTGCAGTCTTTTGTTCTCACACCATTTGCTGAAAAGCTGCTGATAGTCAAAAAGCAGTATAAATAACCTCTCTTGGTAAACAGTAGTAACAGTTTAATAACAATAAGCAGCAAATGATATGTAATTAAAATGGTTTTGTCTACTAATTTTCAAATAACTGAAATGTGCAAGATTAATTCCCTGAAGGAAATTCTTTCCATTGGCACTTTGTTCTTTTCCTTTCTTTCAGCCAAGCAGAACCGGCTAATTTATCTCCATTCTTTATGCTACTGCTATTTTTCTTTGAGCTCTAATGAGAGCTTATAAAAGTTTATTGATTAGATATATGATCTTGATGCCATTTCATTTGGCTGTTCAACCTCTTCACTCATTGTTACTTACAGGAAAAATTATTTATATTAATCTAAATTCTGCTGAGATAGAAATTAGTTCTGATACTAATAAATGATCTGGCAACAAATAGCAATAAAGAGTCTGAGATGTATAAGTCTGTTTCCTATTCCAGCATGTCTATGCATCCAGCAGCCAGTATGAGGTGACTCCAGTTACCCACTGAGCTGCAGGGATGCTCTGAGACTACAGCTGGTAACAGTAAGCTTTTGTGCAAAGGGGTGAACTTTGGTAATAATTTCTTACTCAAACTTCTGAAAGTAAATACAATTTCTCATGTCTAACATTAAGAATCACTAAAGGTTGTCTCAGAGTGTTTAGGACATAACAGGATAGGCTTTAAGAGAGTCTTCTGCTAAGGGCAGTTATGTTGCCTGGATAACCCTTTCCTCAAGAACTATCCACAAAATACTGACTCTTATCATAATACAAAGTTTAGCCTTGATATATTATATACATCCCCAGAATATGATAAATTTACTTTCTAAAGCACAGCTTAAAACTCTGAGTAAATGAAGTCTCCAAAACATGTCTGCATTGTAATTGTATTAAAGACAGAGAAATAAAACAGAAGGCAACAAGAGAAGTTACAATACAACTGAATTCTTGAATGGATTATTTCTTTCAAATGCTGTATAACATTTCTTAGATTCAAATGCCTTTAGCTGTACCTACTCTTGCTGAAAAAATTCTCTGGACTCTCAGAGGCTAGCACTTGATGTAAATACAAGTAGTCCACACTATCCCTCAAATGCATCTTTAAATTTATTCAAATTATTTTTTACAGACTGATTGGTTTGTAGAATTCTGAGAATTTACATGTGCTATTAATTTGATTCCTTCACCCAAACTAAACTCCCCTCACTTTTGCCCTTTTTAACTCCTGCAGAAATAAAAGTTTGAATAAGGCCATTTGTATAGTGCAGCAAAGGATTGAGCAGAGCCTGTATTGGTACAGGGGGCTTAAGTTCTGTAGTGGCAACTGAACTGTGTAACATTATCACCTACTGAGCTTCATGTAACTTGTGCATGAGGAGTTTTTGCTTTATAGGCTCCATTTCTGTATCATAGCTTCAAAGATAAGAGTTTTCACCTCTGCATTTTATCTGAACCTGACTCTCAAACTTTTTTATGCTTTTCCTTAAATTAAAAATTTACTTACACTGTTTCTTTTCTTATTTAATCTCATATAGAAACGTGTCTAGATGCTTAAATCTCTCTTATCCCTTGCACCTTTGTAAAGATGGAGTGGAGTCGGGACCTTGCAAGGCTGTTATGAAAATTCTTATTAGTTTTGGGTTGTGTATGCTGCTTCCAAAGGGTGAAAGACTTGGGCACATATATCTTTTGCTTCATACAGTAAATTCCTTACAAATCTGGAACTATATAATAAATTTTCACTTAATTTTATTTGGTATCAAACCAGGAAAAAGTCAAGAACTTCAGAATTCTAAGGTCAAAGTCCACCTATTGTAACACTTTCTTGCTGACCCTCACACCATAGAAAGAGATAAGTAAGTGATACAGGCTTTTTTAAATTACTGTGATTAAAATGCTAATATCTTTTATCCTAACGGTCTAATATATAGTCAGCAAAACAAAAGACCTATGAAAGCATTTAGCAAGTAAATATTTGTGCATGAAAGACTAAACAAAGATAATGTTAAGGCTTAGTTGCCATTAGCTGTTGCTTACTAATGAAAGTTAATAGCTAGTATTCAAAACCTGCTTTCAGAACACTTCAGAACTGCTTGCAACATTGTCAAGAGACAAATACTTTTTCTTTAGATACTTTGGCCTTAGCAGAGGAGTATGAAGGTTTCAATGTTAGCACAATGGGGCACCTCCTCTAATTCATTAGGAAAACTTTTATAAGAAATATTTAAGTGGTTGAGACTATTGAGAAGGCTGTCACATATTCCTACAATGCATGTTTTTAGCCACTTGAGCACACAGCTGTATTTCTGTAGAGCCCATACAAGTGACATCTTCACAGAGCTGGAGTCAAGTTAATCAGTTTGGCACTCCATGTTTGTGTACTCGAATAAATTCTTGGCAATAGCATTTTTCGTGAGCTGTGGTGCCAGGGGATCTCCTCCATGGGAATGAGTCAATTCATATCACAAATATGGACCAAAGCTTCCAGATAAGTACTGGGTAAATACTGACCAGATTGACTAAATTACTGCGATAAAAATATGCTGTCTAGGTCAGCAGATTTGGCTATTAAGTTGTGCTATTGTGATAATTACTTCAGTATTAGAAAAATATGAAATTTTTTATTTTATGATTTTAGTGTTAACACTCATTAAAAAAAAGGTCAAATTTCTTAAGTTACTTATTAACAGTTTGTTCAAGGTGTTTCTCTGGGTGGTCAGGGAAATTCTGTGTGAACATATAGTTTACCCATAGGCTCTTACAATGACCCCTTTATATTTTGTAAAACTGTTCAAGAATGTTAAGTCTCTTCATTGTAATCCAATTTAGAAAATTATCCTGTAATCTCTTAGAACATGACCCATTCATTTTAATGTGAACCATCTTATAAGGTAATAGAAACCTGATTGCACTATGTAGAGAGAAATGTGGCTGTTTTCAGCTTTTTTTTTTAATCTGGAAGTGAGTTTAAAATGGAACTTAGACTCTCTTGCTGATGAGTAAATTATAACAAACACTTTGGCAGAAAATTCATTAATTGTTCTAAGAGACTATAAAATTGCTGATGTGTGCTAGAAAATAGTCACATAAATAATCCCATTGCTGTTAATAAGAAGATTCTCAGGAATAAAGCTGCTTACATCATGCTTTACAGAAGTAGATCCATGTGCCCAGTTTAGTATGATGGAAAAGGCAAAGAGCAGAGCATCATGCAAGGATCAGAGTATATGAAAGAGCTGCAGAAGTCCAGTGGCATAGAAACCTCTTGAACCTCTCTATCTTTTCATATTTCTCCTGAAATTTTCATCTTCACAAATTCAACTAGTTTCAGGTTAATTTATTTTTATTTTGTATGAATAACAGGCCAAAACCTTGCCCATTCTTTCCCCATCTGTGGTTGGTAAGCAACAGATCCAGTCTTATGTAGCCAGGCTCAGTACTTGAGACACCCACAGAGCAGGTTTATTGTTCCCACTTGCTTTGCCTGCACAGTATAAAACCGAGTCTCAGTCATCACTGGGAATTAAGTGCCTGTTGCAATCCTTTTGTCCATACAACCCATAATTTCATTTTGACAGCATCAGCATTGTGAGGTATTTTTGGCCACAACTGACTTTGAAAAATTCTGTGAGCTTGAGGTAACAAACTACTCCTGCATCAGGAGTGATTTCTAGTTTTTACATTCAAAAAGAAAACCACCTGTAGAAGATGTAACCTCAAGTCTGAGAAACGGATTAGAATTGCTGTGTTGCTTTTGTACTTTGTGTAAATATGCAAGTGCTCATCTGCATTCATGAAGGACATTTTACAGACAGTAAATGGAAGCTGAACCTTTTTAGACTGCTCAGTTTACTCAGATATTCTGTGGCTGCAGATAGTCCTAAGGCATATTTAAATCCTCTGGAAAGCAGCTTGGTTAATATTATACTGTTGAAGCATTTTCTAATGTGCATTTGAGGCAGTGGAAGATTTGGGAATTGGTTTATCGAGGTTTTCTTTACTCTCCTTGGAAATGTTGGTAGATGAATTAACATTAGGATAGCTGCTTACGTGTCTTCCTGATATTGGAGGTGGATGTTAGCTTCTTATAAAATGCCTTATTCACCTTGTTCACCTTTAGAGAAATCAGCTTGCAAGAGTTTAGATATTTTTAGTTGGCTTTTATTCCTTTCTCTTTAGCAGCATTTAAATTTTATGTAGTTAAAGGTCAACCTTGAAACCCCTCTGAGATGTCAACATGAGCAGCCAGGGCATTTTTATGGCCCACTTTTCTTAGTGGAGACACTATCATTCATTACTAGTGGAGGATTACACTTGCAACTAAATCAGAAAGCACAAAGGCTTTTAAAAGATCCAGTCTAGCCTAGGCTGAAGTTCACAGAATGCTTGTCAATATAAAGGAGTTTACTCTACTTAAATATAGAGCAGTTTTCATAAGATATCAAGTCAGAGTAGACAGCTGACAGTAAATCTTTGATCAGCTCCTGGAGCATGTAAGCATTTATGATAAAATTCTCTACTTGGATGTGTATGCTTAAGAATTTACTCCTACGGTTTTACCCTGTTAGCTGCTCTTTTTTTGGCTGTTATGTATGGGTGAACAATTTTATTTACCTTCTCAAAGATAAAGAGATATCCTATAAAGGCACTTTGTTTTCTTTGCCTGGCTTTTGATTTGTTCATAGTGGTGTTCTGCTGTGATCCATTTCATAATGCTGCCTATGTGTGTTTTCCTGTTTTACTGCTAGCTCAGAGCAGACTGACCATGACAAGAGTAGTCAGAAAACATAGTTCAGCAAAATGATATGTTGATATTTTGAAGGTTATATCTCTTATCAATCTCTCTGATTTCAGAAGGATTGTTCTATGTTTGAAAATTCTGACATGCTGTTGAATTACAGAAAAAACATGAGACTCCATTCTTATATTTCTCAGACCAGAAACACTAGAGATAAGTGCAAGTAGTGTGATCTCTGACTCTGAATGGAGGTACTCAGTCATTCTCATCCTCTTCCAGCAGAGCACACTAAAGAACAGCACAAAGATTACATGTCCCCTGGATGCTAATGGAGCCCCCCTTCATTCAACATTGACAGACATACTTCTGCTTGCCACCACTTTTCTGCCTTGTATATTTTCTTCCTCAAAATATATATTTATGTATATAAATATATAATAAACTAGAAAGAAGTTGAAACCATAAGACAGTATAGAATTCAGATGTCAAGGTCTAGCTATCCATTACAGTGCTGGCATCTCTTCTACAAGACCCTATCTGTCACTTCCTTCTTCTTGGACATGCAGAAAAAAGGGTCCTGAGAGGACATATTTTTATAAATTTAACAATATTGCACGAAGACAAATTATTTTCTCTCCAGTATTATTCCCAGTCTTTTGTTTTTATGGTTTTAGTAATCCATTTGTGCACTTAACATACGATGAAAAGTTAGAGTATAAAAATGATCCTTTCAAAAAGCATCCCTGACAGTCTAATTGGCCATTCTATGGCATAATGTGCCATTGTGTGTTTCATTTTTTATAAGTATATTTTTGGTTATTTGCGTTTATAAAATAAAAATATATCAGAAAATTCCACTGGGCTGTTATGACAAAAAAAAAAAATGAGACATTTGGTGTTAATTTCTAGCTAGTATTTATGGGGATGGACATTTTCTTAGAGGAAAATAGTTTTCTAATTTATGATCATCGTGTTGAAATATTCAAAAATAAATAAATGGACTTGTTGAAATATAAAATCAATTTGAAGACACAAAATAATGATTTTATTTCTGTGAAAAACATGTTTTGGAAAGTTATAAGGCAGATGCAAAAGCCACGGCTAAGTTTCAATAAATAAATAAAAAAAAACTTTAGCCACAAAGTGAGTGTAATATTCTTTAAATAATTGCTGTCATTCAGAATTATCCCTTAGGTAGTGAGTAAAATATATATCAGTAAGATGAAGATAAGAAAGGTACAGCAATGCCTGTCACTGAGAAGGTAAGCATAAATTTATGCAATTAAATTGCTTTACCTATGTTACAAAAGAAGGAAGATCTTACCATATTTCCTTTGCAAAATATTTTAATGTTGCTTTCATTTCCATATAATTTTCACTGCTTTCTGGACAAGTGTTAAATGTTGTGTCTATGACATGTATTTTGGCCCTTCTCTCATGTTGTCTCTAAGCTGAAAATTGACGGGACAGAGCAGTTTGGTTTTGGTAGAATTTTTTTTTTTAAGCAATAAATCTGTTTTAAAAATGGATAAGCTGTAAGTTTGAGAAGGCCAGTAGAAGGAAGATGTTAGACATTTGGAGAGAGAGGTGGAAATGCTTGTGATGAGTCACAGCTCCTGGTGGAACTCATTCTTCTGGTTGGGACTGGCCTCCAAAAAACTTTATTTTCAGCACAAACAAGCTGTACCTTTGCTTTAGAAATGCAGTGATAGAAAATTCATTAATATATGCCATAAGCATCAGTTCCCCTTTCTGTAGGTGGTCTCTCATATTATCTTTGTCACACATGACCCAGTGTTTTGTGAGTAATGACCTTCATTTGATTTCAAGGAGGATTTCCAGTGCAGAGTGTGGGGAAGTTGTGATGGATTTGTTGGAATCTACATTGATGAAGTGCTGTAGTGAGAGACACTTTATGCCTTGTTATGCCTTGTTAAGGTGGAGACAGGAGGTACCCATACTTCATGTAACTAAGAAGCACTTACAAGGGTGTTCTCTCATGTGAAGACGATGAATATATAAAGAATAAGTGTGGCTCTACAAGTGTTTGGTAACAAAAGACACTTTGCAGCAGTCCACACTGTACTCAGACACTGATCACTGCCAAAGGTGTGGTTTGATGCACACAAGCAGAGGTAGGTGCCATCTTCATGCTCCTGTCACATCACATCTGTGTTTTCTTACTTCACATCAATGTTGAAAATGTCTGGAGAGCAGGTCTTTTTGACAGTATAAATGAAGAGTATGGGGATGGATGTGGTTTCCTGTTACTGTTGTTTGGAGGGAATGATTTAAATCATTTCAGCACATTGAGTTTGGATCTGTGCCATACCCTGGGACAGATGATGTCGGATTATGCCAAATGATCAGGAGGATGAGAATGGATATCTGCTCACTGAAAGTAGATCTTCCATCAATCTCTCTAAATTATGTCCTGTCTTCTGTGCTGGCCTTGATCCCAAATGTGATGGATCAAGGGTATTGACTTCAACTGAATGAATTATATTGCTCTCTGGCTGTCGTTTCAGACCTGTTCTGAGTTGATATACAGGGTAATGCTAAGGCAGAGTTTTCCTATCTGAGGATTTTTTTAGTGTTGGTCCAAATACTCCATGCCCTAAAGAAGAAAAGAATGTATTTTCCATAACTCATACATGAGTTTTTTCAGGCATGAGTGGCTGCAGTTGCTCATATGACATTCTTCCATCAGCTAGGCAGGTCATCTATTTACAAAAACTTTGGAGGAAGAATCCTGTTCACTTCTTCAATATTCCTTGAGTGGTGTGGGCATTTCAAACACTCCTGAAGCACACAGGAGGAGCTGGACTACTTAAGAAACCTTGTATGTGTGGTGATGTCACCAAAGTAGGAAAATTAATACTTTACAGTAATGTGAATTTATGAAATATCTTCCATTCCAAAAGATACCATATACTTTACATCTCTCTTTACATTGGCAGTTAACCTTGCAGGCTCTGGCACAGATCCAGAGACCTCGGAAATAAGTCTTTTCTTTGACCCTATTGGGCTTGGTAATCCAAGTTGTCCCAATAGCAATGATTTCATATGCCATGCACATGAGACTGCTTCTGATGTGGCTCATGCCAGCTCACAGGAGAGGACAGCAATAATATCTGCAATACTATGTACAAGTTAAAAAAAATCTAATCGAAATTACAAAATAAATGTAAATAGGAAATGTAAGAAGGAGATAGAAATGTAAATAGGAAAATAGAACAGCAGTCCCAAAAGCTGTCAGTTACTCAAGGCTTTGGTAGTAACATGGTCTTCTTGAAAGAAAATTCATAACTGCCCATGAGTAGAATTACTTGATGCTAAAATGTTCCCTCATAGTAGAAGAAAATGACTTGCTAAATTACCAGTACCAGTTTTCTCACCATCACATCATTTTTGGTTGTTTTTTTACTCATCTCCAAGCCCACTGCTGGCTTTTCTTCTTTTCAGCTCACTCTGGAGCATGAATCCCTGTTGCTCTAAAATGAGTGGAAGCATTCTGTGCCTGCTCAGCCTGTGCTGCCAGCTGGTCACAGACAATTCAGAGTGGACATGGCAGGGTTAGCCACGTGTTGTGCTTCATAGGACAAGCCCTGCAGAGGCCTGCTGCTTAGGCTGGGCTCTGTAACACATGAAAGTTAACACATCCAAGAAAAAACACTGCTTTGTTTCCATTTATCTGAAGTGTTGGCCAAATGGCTTTCTTGCTAGATCTAAGTGTATAGACATTAACAACAGCACCAAGAACAGACTAAATTTGCTGCTTTTCTTCTTCTTCCTGCAGATTAATTTGTAGTATTTGTCTCAGCCTCATGGTTAGCAAGGAGAGAAAAAAATATGTCCTAACAACACATTAACAGACAAAAAATGTACCTCATATTTGCTAAACTCTCCTCTACACCTCAAAAACATGTAAGGATTATGATTCCATAACCACCAGCAAATGTTTTAGATGGGCAATCTATGTGCTATGTTACCTTTTGCTTTTATATTTTTTACAATATTTGCAATACATTTTAAAAATAATAATAATAAACTTGTTTTCATCCATTTAAACCAAAAGCCTCCCTTCAGGAAGTTTGTTTACTATTTTCAATACTCATCATTATATTTGGTTTTCTTTCCAGAGTACACATAATGTGTGCAGAATGTTCCCTAACCAACTGGAAACATTATTTTAACAAATGGGGCCTTGCTCACTAAAAGCTACGGCTCATGTCCCGTGTAAACTAAACATAGATGGGCAAATTCTCTGCCCCAGCTAGGTAAGCACAGCAGCATCACAGGAGCAGGGATAGAACCTTCCTTGTCTCTCTTAGACCTAAATCTGATTTTCCACCCTTTGCCTCTTAAGTCCCATGAAAGGCAGAGAATGCTGTAGCTGTATCACTGCAGTGGAGCTGTGTGTATTAGGGAAAGAGTGTGTCCTTGAGAACACATACTCAAATAAAAAATACAATGGAATTTGTTAGATTGGCTCTGTGCAATTTGGACCCCTTTGTCTCCATGGACAAAGTAACATTTAGTGTTGATATATTAGTGTATTTATACAACAATATCCATCTTTTTAAGGCATAGAGTGTTATTGTTTATTGATATAATAATATTGTCTTATGTTTATGTATTTTATCCATAAAACCAGTCAGGGTATGATTCAAAGCAAGCTGTTGCTCTTGCACTTCTTTCTCTGTGGTTTGGCTGGAAAGCTAACAGAGGTGTGAACCTGAGTGTACCTGGCTCTCCAACTACATGGTGGGGTTTGTATTGCATTTCTCACTCTTCAGAGATGGTTGAATCCTTGGGAAGATATCTTATATACCTGAACAGGCTGGGCTCCTTGTCCTAGAGTTTTTAGAAGTTTTGGAAACAAACTAAACTGGGTCTCTCTTTGTCTGTGTTCAGAATGGGTTTCACATCTTCGAGACCAAAGCTGAAGAATGGCTGTCAGCAAAGGCTGGCTTCTGGTGGGGAGAGGGTTTGAGGGTCCAGATGTTTGTGGTGCAAGCAGGATGATCAGAAAAAGCACTGTATGGGCATTTAACTTGCAGTACACACAAGAGAATTTTTAGTGTTCTGGTTAAGGGAGAGAATCTCCAGGAGTGGACTAGAAGAACCTACATAAATTAACTGATGAAATATAAGAGGATAAAGTCCAGGTCTGGTTTGTTACACTTACATTAGGAGAATAGCAACATATTAATGGTCTCTAAATCTTCCTGTACATTGTCTATATGCCTACTTCCACAAATTTATTTATTGTTGTCCTAGCATGCAAATTGTATTTAATATGGTGAAAAAGAAATAACTAAGGTAACAGTATTAGCAATTTTAAAAAATTGAAAAAGGTAATAAAACATACACTAGAGCACATATACTTTTCAGAGCCCTAGTAAGATTAGTTTCCACAGCAAAATATATTGCTAGTAAGGAATTAGATGATGAAACATGACTGTGGGTATGTGATGATGATCTTTTGTTCTTCTATATCAAGAAGCAATTTAACTGGAAGTATGTGTACATCTATGAAAAATTAAGTTACCTCTAAATGTTTGCTGAGGTGACCATTGGTATTTAAACCACTAGAAAATGATTTACATAGGTGTACAAACAAGAGTGTGTATTTTTTGCAAACCTTTTTGTAATGCACTGCTTTGATCCAGTTAACAGTATGCAGCTTTACTCATGGTGTGGCTGTTTGCCATGTCTTTGTAGTTTTCTGAAAAGAAACAGGCAAACAGAATTTATAATGTCTAAAATATGTAGATTCTGGAAATGTTAACCAGCTCCTGTTTGCAAACAAATCTATCATATACTCTGCAGCTGAATATAGCTGATAGCTTAGGAACTGGGATATGACAGAACTGAAATGAAAAAGAAGAAACATACAAAGAACAGAAGGGGATTTTATTAAGACTATGTTTTACTTGTTTGATTGCTGGTGTCTTACTGATGGATATTTTTTTGCAATGTTTGAATCATATACTTGAATATATTTTCTACAGGAAATAAAAGACATAAATTTATTTCATATTTAGGGTTAGAAGGAAATCCAAATATGTTTTCACATTCGAAGTTCAGTGATGGTTTTCTCACAATTTGAGTTAAATAAGGGACAGTATTCAAAGAATAGGAGCTGAAGCTGAATCACAGCATGAGTTGTGTTGGAAGTGACACTACAAGGTTCATCCAGTTGAACTCCTGGCCCTGCACAGGACACCCCAAGAGTCACACCCTGTGCCTGAGAGCATTGTCCAAATGCATCTTGAACTCTGCCAGACTTGGTGCTGTGACCACTTCTGTGGGGAGCCTGTTCTGGTACCCAACCACCCTCTGGGTGAAGAACCTTTTCCTGATATTCACCCTAAAACTTCCTAACTTCCCTAAACTTCAGGCCAGTCCCTCAAGTCTTGTCACTGGTCACCACAGAGAAGAGATCAAGAGCATAAATCAGGCAGGGTATGAAAGGGAAACATAAACATGCCCATAAGGAAGTTAATACTACTGGAGAAAGATATGGACCATTAAGGACGTCAAGGCAGGAGCCATTGCATGGAGGTGGAGTTAGTAGCAGAGTCAGAAAATGTGAATTTCCAAAAAGAATACTTTTAAACAGAGATATTTTTTGTCTGTTGCAAGGGAAAGTGTCCTAAAAGTAATGGAAGTACATCCTGTATGTTTGTAGACTTTGAATATTGAACCATTAATTTTTGTTTGCTTGCTTGTTTGTTTTTGGGGGCGTGTTGTTTTTTTCGAACATACAACCTCCCCATTCTTGGCATTCCAGAATGTCATGGTCACATCAACTCTGAGTTTGCAGTGAATTTCCAGTGTTATCCAGTTAGAGTGGTACAAACAAACAGGAATGAATTCTTCCAAGTAATGCTATCCTGTGGGTCAGTGTAGCAGAAAGGGCTGAACAACTGTTTTCCATCAAAGATTAAACTGCTCGTTGCTATGGTTCAGTGACAGCCGTGCAAGGGACAGTTCCTGCTCATTTGCCAGGGCTGCCTTTGTTCATGCAACATTACTTTTTGTAATGGGGCACTATAGAAATGTAAAACATCGAGAAGGGTACGACAGAGCATGATTTCTTTTCAGTCTCTTCTCCCCAGAGACAGAAAAACATCAGCACCCATTCTCTTATTGACTACAAAAAATTTAATGTCTCTGATGTGGTACTGATCAGGTACATCCTATTTCTATTTTCCACTTGGAGAAACACCTGCAATCCTACAGATTCCATGCACAGTGGTAAAGTTGCTAAGGCTCATAATGAAAGTTAAGAAAAATTGTTTTGCCCTTACCACAAGACCCTGTGTTGCATTGCAGTTCTGAATATTCGGGGAAGGATTTTGCCACTGGTACTTTATGGTATCAAGGTAGCATTTTGCAGTATCAGTCATAATGGCACATTTTCTCAGAATTATGGGATTTAAGTTTGTTTCTTCTACTTTTTCTCAAATAACGAATATACTCTGTCTTTTAAGAGAAAAAAAGTATTTGACTAAGAAAAAAGTAGTTCAGCTATGTGCATCACAAGGGGATTAAAGTGGGTTTGTCCTAGAACCGCTGAGCTGAAGGGAAGGTGTCTGTGGTAAAATAATTGAATTTTACAATTCCCAATAAATTTATTTTGTATTTTCTCTCTATTTTGTCTTCAAAATGGGGTGCTTTTTGTGATAATAATAATTTATCATTTTTATTGATTTCCTTTGGACTGACAGCTGAAGTCTTACCATGCTTTTATGCCATGTCCCTCTAAAAACTCTTGAGATGTATTTATGTAGGATTTTTTTTTAAAAAGAATGCATTCTTTAAACTCATAGTAAGTTTACTTTCTTAAGACAGCTTTATCCTGTTAGTTCAGCACTCATTCAAGAAGGTATTTTCCTTGTCTTGGTAATGACATGAAAAAATACCTAATTAGATTTCAGGTTTGGAGCATTTTTTTTCATATACAATATGTATCATGATGATTAGTATAGGTATTGCCATGGAACCAACAGCTCTCAAACGCAAACAAAATTAATTCACATTTGTACAAAGGAGGAGAAGGCAGTGATAAACAAAACTTTTTGTTAAAATTATTAGTGGTGATACCATTTCTCAAAGCAACTTAACCCTTATGCCCATCATTCACTCCTTAACTCCTTTTTTTGAATTATTGGTTCAGTTTTCTAGCATTGTCAAATATTAGTCAAAAGTAAGAATATTCCATAAGGTGGATAAAGATTTTTAAGACTATTTGATAATTTCTCTCTGCGTATTGTTTTCCTCCACCTTTTATATGGTATGTGCATTTGCTTCGACATGAATGATGAAATACTCACAATTGTATTAGTTCAAAGAAATTACATCTTAATTACAATTAATTGCAACTTTGCTTGCTCAGTTCTTCCTCTGGAAGTGAAATCAGGAGGCTGCAGTGAAACAGGTTTAGACAGTGACAGGTCTAAAATAACTATGTTATCTTCACCACTCCAAAGGACTGAATGTTCACATATTCAGTATCAAACATGAAATGCTTTGGATTTGCCCTCTGTAGCCTTTCCTGGAACTGAGTTGAAGCAGTGTTGAAGATCTCCCTGTTTCATGCACAGAAGGCAGGGGAGCCTATGCTTCAGTTTTTTCCTGTCTCTGTATCCAGGGAGAAGCCCTAGATGCTGTAGGGCAGCTGCAGACACAGCTTTCAGGTACATCAGTGGAACCCATGATACAGAAATGAATTCTACATTTTCTCACAGAATGTTGGAAGCTTAATGCTGTTAATCTTTTCTGCTGTGTGCACACAGGCTGTGTGCCTTGGTTTCAATGCAAATACAGGGGAACAGAGTTGGATCTCAGACCCCAGTGATATGCCGTCAATAGGGTTTGAGGGCTGACATATTTTGTTATTTTGGTTGCCAATAGAAGTGTTCTGGACAACGATGAAATAAGCCTCTACTGAAAACATCTACAGAGCCCCCTTTGTACATCTAGTCCTTCCTGTTTGCTTCTCTTTAATAAATGGGGGCAATCTACTTGAGAGTAAATCTTGGCTCAGACTGTAAGAGGAATAGATAAAGAGAAAAGCAGTAATACATAAAAATTTACTGAACTTGAACTAAGGATGCTGGGATATGAAAAGAAAAAACCTTTCAGGTTGGAAGAGGAAAATGTAGTGCTTCATATTATGCTTTCATGGTCTTGAGGAAAAGAAACCAGGTCTTTGCTTATTAATCAGACTGAACTGAGGAAGACTGTGCTGTGTTTGCTCAGAAGTTGCTAAGGGCAATCATTTAACTCAGTTACACTGGCAGCTGGCTGTAGCTTGTGTACATATGAGCCACTCCAAAAATTTATCAAAAAATCTTCCAATTAATTCATAGAAGTTAAATATTAATGCAAAAGTAAACAGTCTGTTGACTCGCTGTGTGGTTCATTAGTTGAGAGCACAGCAGCAGTGTTGAAATAGTGATAGTTTCAAGAAATGAATGCTAAACCTAGCTCTCTTCACAGAGCAGCTATGTATCTGGATGGGAGCATAGTAAATTCCACAGTAATTTGCAAAGAGAAAGTCTAGATGAGATTAATTTTATTCTTTGTTCATCCCAAGCATTTCCAGCTTTGCAATGTATTCCGCAGCACGGGCTAAGGTGGTGTTTGTGCAAAAGTTAAATTATGTATCTTGTTTCAGATCTCTAGTGTTGCTGATGTTTTTCAACAGAATCACAGTGTGTGCCTGAGGCTGGAAATCACCTCTGGAGATGCCTAACCTCTAACCCCTCTTCTCAAGGCTAGGGCAAATAGAGCAGGCTGGATGGATGAGATGAGAGCAATGGATATTGTCTACCGCTGCTTCAGCAAGGCTTTTGACATTCTCTTACAGCATCCTTGTAGATAAATTCAGGAAGAGTGGGTTAAATGAGTGAGGTGGGTTGAGAACTGGCTGGGTGGAAAATCCCAGAGGGTCATAAGCAGTGTCACAGGGTCACATTGCTCTGTCACTAGCGGTGTCCCAAGGGTCAATATTGGGCCCACTATTATTTGACTTATTCATCAATGGCTTGGATGAAGGGGCAGGTGCTTCCTCAGCAAGTTCACTGACAGCACAAGGCTGGGAGGAGTGGATGATAACACAGAGGGCTGTGCAGCCCTTCAGAAGGACAGGCTAGAGAGATGGGCAAGAGGAACTCTCTGAAATTCAGCAAAAGGAAGTGCAGGGTCCTGCACCTAGGGAAGAATAAATCCATGGATGAGCACAGGCTGGAGGCTCAGCTGCTGGAAAGGAGCTCTAAAGGCTGAGGGAACTGAAGCTGTTCAGCCTCAGGAAGAGAAGATTGAGATGGGACCTCATCACTGTCAGTCAGTGTCTGAAGGGAGGTGTCAGAGGATGGACCAGGCTCTGCTCAGTGGTGCTGAGCAACAGGACATGAAGCAATGGGCAGAAACTGATGCCCATGAAGTTCCACATGAACTTTTTAAGTTACCTTGAACTCTTTGTAAGTTGTTGAAGGTTTAGGAACACGACTGTGTTGCAGTTACATGTACGTGCATTGCCAAAGGTTTTGTCTGCTCAGATGCAACAGGCCCAGAGGGACTATTTTAATCTTGGAGAAAAGAGGAGAAAGAAACTCTAGCAAATATTTTTTTTTTAGTTTATGTGTTTAGGGTTTTCTTTCTTTACTCTCCAGTTTTATTGCTTTAGGGATCAAGATTTGAGAATCAAGATGAGACACTCACTATAAATGAGCCTGCATTTAATAATTCCCTGTTGTCCAACTCATTGCAAAGAACCTGGCACTTTAGATGAAAATTGAAATCCTAATGATTCATTCCAGATCTTTAATTCAGTACATGTTTTTCAAGATATTCTTCTATTCTATACTGCTTTTACTAATGGCACTTAAAAAAAAAAAAAAAGAAATCCTAATTTTATTTTGATTTGTTATTGGTTGTCTGATATGACCTTATCTAGATGCTTATATTCCATCACTTTATACTTCCCTGATTCTTCATTGTCTGGTTTGAGTGTAACTCAGAGAGGACAAGGTCATGTGGGCAGGAGATAAATAATAAAGGAAGAAGTCAGATCTTACTTTGATATTTTCCCAAGAGATTTTATTAAATTACTAGAGTAGGACTTCAGATACTTATGGAGTCATTTCATTTTCAGGGATAGACCATCTTTGATAGCATATTTTAATATATATATATGTGTGTGTGTATGGTTCTGTATTATAATAACCCGTCAGAAACCTGAATAATTAGAAATTGAAATTGGAAGATGAAATGAAGAATTTGGCTGCATTAACTGTTGATTTATGAGATTTTCTTGCCTCATTGTAGTTATACTGAAGTTATTCTGAAC